ATTTCATTCCCAAAGTTTTGTAAAGGCATCATGAATTTAACAGACATAACAAATTACATTTAATATAACAAATCAAAATTTCTCATCCCTGGTATACCGGTACTTTATTATATGAGCATGTTTTACAGTATTGAAAGGTAAGAGAATATTAAGCATATATACTTCACACTAATGCCAGATAAAGTTGGGTTATTATCTGAAATACTGTACACTGATCAACTGCATATACATGTCTTTTTCTTACTTTTTTTTTGGAAAATTTCCTTGTAGGCCAAAGTCTGGGACATCTCTCGCTGTCACCTACTGACTGAGCTGATTGGACACAATGCAGCTATTTTTGCTGTAGACATGTCAGAGGATGGTTCTCTAGTCATCACAGGGTCTGCCGACAGGGTAAGATATAGTACCTCATTACTGCCTGAAAATTAAATACGAACATTTTTTAGTCCCCTACCGGTGAAACCAGAGGGGACTATAGGTTTCCTCTGAGTCTGTCCGTCCGTCTGTCTGTCTGTCTGTCCGTCTGTCTGTCTGTCTGTCCCTCTGTCTGTCTGTCAGTCTGTCCCACTTGGTTTTCCGCACTTTTTTCCTAAACGTTTGCAGATATTGAGCTGATTTTTGGTATGTGAGTGTGTCTTGATGAGTTACAGATCAAGTTTGCATTTCGTTCCGCTTCATTGATTTTTGACGGAATTACGGCCTTTTCAATTTTTAGGGGTTTTCCGCAATTTTCTTCTAAACGCTTGTAGATATTGAGCTGATTTTTGGTATGTGGCTTTACCTTGATTAGTTACAGATCAAGTTTGCATTTCGTCCCGCTTCATTAATTTTTGACGGAATTATGGCATTTTCAATTCTTAACGGGAACGGAACCAGATTACACTTGCTGGTAGGGGACTAGTATTGCTAATGCAATACTCTCAGAATGCTTGTTTAAATAAAATTGGACCAAGACATAAAAATAGTCATGGAAATAAGACTTGGTTTTCTTGTAAACAATTCCTGATAAATGATTTTTTTTTTTCAAAATCTTATATAGAGACTGTGAAAACACGTTAATATTGTGCTTTTTATGAAATAGTACCTAGCCACTCAGAATATGTGTCTACTATATACCATAGTAAAATTTTCTCTGTTGTAGACGGTTCGTATTTGGGACAGAGACACCGGGGTGAAGAAGCAGACAATCTGGGCCAGTCCCTCCACCTCTATCATGGCGGTCAGTTACAGTAAGGGACTGATTGCCTGTAGTTATGGAGAGACAATATGTCTCTATAATACAGATATATGTAAGCTCATCAGGACATTTGAAGGACACATGAAGAGGTAAAAAAAAAAAATCCTCAAGATACCTATGTTTGCTGCAAATGGCATTTTTTTAAAATAACAACATAGTTAAAAAGAGTGTATCTCATTTTGTACTTAATAAATATCTGTCTGTTTAATGTGTATACCAAAAGGCGTGAGAAAACATTCGATAAAATTAAGGAAAAATGAAAAAATCATATTATATTTACAGGATAGAAACAGTGAGATTAAAGGTCACCGATAAGGAGAAATTGTTAGGAACTATTGTCAGTGCTGGAAAAGATGGTCTAGTCAAATACTGGGATCTTCAAAGGTAAGAGTTATGTCCCTTGCAATCTCTGTGGATGTGCATGAGATATACATGTCTAACATGAATTAAATGTTTATTATGGACAAAATTTATAACATGCTATAATTTCAATCATGTAATTACATAATATATGCATCTCCTTCATTATTTCAGGAAAGAAAGCATCCAAACTAAAGGTCAAAGAGGAAATGTGAAATGTATTTACTTTGATGACCTCAGAATAGCAAGTGGGAATGGAAATAGAATAAGAATTTTTGATTTTAATTTTTATGACAAGTCACTGGTTCCTAGAGAGGAAGTGCCTCCAACTCAGGAAGGAAGAAGAAAGTCTAGTGTGGCTGCTGGAACAATCGTCAAGGACTTAAATGCTGAAAGTTCAGGGGTCAAGGACGGAGCAAGTTCAGGAATAGCATCTCCTCATCCAGGGGAGGTTTATTCTAGAGCATCACGTCAAAGTAAGAAAAGTGAAAAAGAGAGTTCTATTAAAGCCAGAGAAACACCACAACAGACAGAGGCATAAAGAATAAATCATTTATATAGCGTCAAAGACTGTAAACACAATAAACAACAATTTGTGTGTTTCTTTTCTTAAATATGCCACTTAAGTGTCAACAATGTGTATGAATTGTGTTCATTTTTAAAAACTTTACATGTAAGTGGAGGTTTGTGGAATTTCAATTGTTGACACTGCCATGGGAACCCTTTGTGCACCCATAAATGAATCATAGTGCTGTGTTCATATTTATATACTGACATTGTCTTTATACACAAGAAAACTGGCTGTGATATTTTTGTTTTTAGCTCACCTGAGCCGAAGGCTCAAGTGAGCTTTTCTGATCACATTTTGTCCGTCGTCCGTCCGTCCGTCTGTCCGTCTGTCTGTCTGTCTGTCTGTCCGTCCGTCTGTAAACTTTTCACATTTTTGACTTCTTCTCAAGAACCACTGGGCCAATTTTGACCAAACTTGGTACAAAGCATCCTTGGGTGAAGGGGAATTTAAATTGTTAAAATGAAGGGCCAAGTCCCCTCACAAGGGGAGATAATCAAGAGAAGACAAAAATAGGGTGGGGTCATTAAAAAATCTTCTTCTCAAGAACCACAGGGCCAGTAAAGCTGAAACTTATATGGAAGCATCCTGGGGTAGTGTAGATTCTAAATTGTTCAAATCAAGACCCCCGGGGGTAGGGCGGGGCCACAATGTGGAATCAATGTTTTACATAGAAATATATAGGAAAAATCTTTAAAAATCTTCTTCTCAAGAACCACTGAGCCAGAAAAGCTGAAACTTATGTGGAAGCATCCTGGGATAGTGTAGATTCTAAATTGTTCAAATCATGACCCCCGGGGGTAGGGCAGGGCCACAATAGGGAATACAAGTTTTACATTGAAATATATAGGAAAAATCTTTAAAAATCTTCTTCTCAAGAACCACTGAGCCAGAAAAGCTGAAACTTAAGTGGAAGCATCCTGGGATAGTGTAGATTCTAAATTGTTCAAATCATGACCCCCGGGGATAGGGCAGGGCCACAATAGGGAATCCAAGTTTTACATTGAAATATATAGGAAAAATCTTTAAAAATCTTCTTCTCAAGAACCACTGAGCCAGAAAAGCTGAAACTTACGTGGAAGCATCCTGGGATAGTGTAGATTCTAAATTGTTCAAATCATGACCCCCGGGGGTAGGGCAGGGCCACAATAGGGAATACAAGTTTTGCATTGAAATATATAGGAAAAATCTTTAAAAATCTTCTTCTCAAGAACCACTGAGCCAGAAAAGCTGAAACTTATGTGGAAGCATCCTGGGATAGTGTAGATTCAAAATTGTTCAAATCAGGACCCCCGGGGGTAGGGCAGGGCCACAATAGGGAATACAAGTTTTGCATTGAAATATATAGGAAAAATCTTTAAAAATCTTCTTCTCAAGAACCACAGAGCCAGAAAAGCCGAAACTTACGTGGAAGCATCCTGGGATAGTGTAGATTTTAAATTGTTCAAATCATGACCCCCGGGGGTAGGGTGGGGCCACAATAGGGAAACATTGAAATATATAGGAAAAATCTTTAAAAATCTTCTCAAGAACCACTGGACGAGAAAAACTGAAACTTATGTGGAAGCATCCTGGGGTAGTGTAGATTCTAAATTGTTAAAATCATGACCCCCGGGGGTAGGGCGGGGCCACAAAAGGTATAACAAGGGGGGAAGTCTGGTAATGAACAGCATGGCCAAAGTTACTCAGGTGAGCGATGTGGCCCATGGGCCTCTTGTTTATTTTGTTATTTTTAATTTGATGGATAATTTTCCTGTTGCTATTGGAATGTTGTAAATTGATAACAAGTTTGTTGTTGGTATATTTGAATTATCTTCCTACTGCTGATATTGTAAGTCTCTCAAGCATTAAACAAGCTGTTATGTTACAGTTCACTACAGTTTTAAGTGACTTTGTCATTTTACAAATTGTTCATTTCTATATCTTTTGGCTAGTCTTGTCAGATATCAGGGAGTTTCAAGTGATTAGATCTGTTTTTCTTTTGTATGGAAATTAAAAACAATGATTAAAAATATTTTCATTATATGCATTATTTCTTGTTTTCTTTTCAAAACCAATATGGGAGACAATTAAATTTTTTCTTGCATCATTCAAAATTGTTTGAAAATTAAAAACATCTTTCCTGAAGATGTGTATTAGATACATTGAATAAAGCATGATTAACACAACTTTGGATCTTAGAAAAAATAAATAGAATTGAGAAGTAAACTGTTACGCAACACACAAAGTCCGTACAAGTACAGTGTATATGCTTTATTACTATGTCACGCTGATGTCACATACATGTAAATGTTGCTACACATTTTAATAGCTTAAAATTTTTCAATGAAATGTGATTTTATACATTTATAAATAATACATTGTATAAGAAAGTGCACATATGATAAGTAAAAAAGATTCATAAAGTAAACCTGGTCCTATTTTCCATTTCACTAACATATTTGATTGGCAGTGTGGACTTTCAAAAAATCCCGCAGTGTGGACTTTCAAAAAATCCCAGACATATTGTTTGGACATGGGTATTTATTGTTTTTAAATATATAAAAAATAAATAAATATGATGAAAAATGTACTTACAATGATAGAAATAAATTCAGATTTAAATGTTTTCTGTTGCGTTAAAGTAAATATAAAATGAAAACTTTACAGGGCTACCGGTATATAATAATATTTTTTTTCAAAATAAGTTATACATGCTGCAATAAAAACAGAGAGAAAACCAAAGAAAAAAACATCTTAAAACTTCTGTTAGTTAATATAATTCATCATATGTATACAAATGCAGGGTATTTGAAAGACAATAATTGGCACATCTGTCCATAATAGAATATATAATGCCAAATTGAATATAGCACACTATAGTTGCAAAATCAAAAATTCTCACAAATATTGTTTTTTTTTTATTATTATTATTTTATTTTTTTGGTGAAGAAACAAACAATGATACAAGAACTATGCAATATTATAAGCACTAGTTATACTAATACCTCTAAGATCTCATAATAACAGTTTAAAACATGATCTTTATATTCTGAAGAATGGACAAAAGGGTTATCTCCCTTAAAATGCATTCATCATGTAACACTGACACAAAACAATTTAAAAAAAAAAAAAAAAAAACACTCCATTACAATAATACACTTCTGCACATTTACATGAAAAGCTGAGAAAATATCCAAAGAATTTTTTTTTTCTTTTAGCAAGAATTATTGTCCAGAGACTTCTCACGAAAGCGCTTTCTCTCTCACTCACATTCAGGCAACTCAAAATTATGAAATCCCATGATGCACCATTCCTGACATGTTGACATCATAGGTTACCTTGGAGACAAGTCCGCCATGTGTTTCTGTAGTAGTGTGTTTATAATGTCTGTATAGTAGGAACCAAACACAGATCTGTTATAGGAAATCAGTCTCAAAAACTGGCCACACAATTGGCTAAGTTCTCTTTCCACTGCTGAGAATCCGGGAGGAACTTTTAATGGTTCTTTGTGTTGTGATGAAATGATTTGTCTTATGAAGTCCAACAGCCTTTTAACTAAAATTAAGTAAACATATTTTTTTTTAAGATAGAGAAAGTGAATTGTCTGTAATCTGAATAATTTTCCATAAAATCAAATGCATAAAAGTCCATATAATGGTCCAGGAGGACATTTTTATTCACCCATTCATTTAATTAATGGTAATACAACAACTAAATAATGTTAAAATTCTTTCAAACTTCTCAATTGAACAGGTAAACTTTTCAAGTTATCTTCAACCACAGATTGTTGAGGTTTAAAGAACAAATAATTCTTTTTTTCATTAACACATTGTTTCCATCAAACATTTTATGCTTTGACTTTTATTTATTTTCATTTATGATTAATTTGATTTCAAAATGAATTCTCACTTCTGAAATATATCTGACTCTTGATACAAAATAAAAACTTACATAGGAGCTTGTAGACTTTATTGTCCTTGCTGGATATTTCTGTAATCTGACCAACCAGTAACTTCTGTTGGGCCTCGTCTCGAGTCTGGAACCCGTGAGATGATAGAAACTCGTTCACTGACTTATTGACCTGCTCTCCAACATTACTCATCACCTTAGGGAGGTCACTTAAAAAAGAATTAAAATATGAAAATACATAAGGAGGCAGAATTTTATTGGTCTAAGGGAGGAAACCCACTTTTCAGAACTTTCATTTTCACTACACATCTACATGTCACTTCCCAAAATCTTAAAGATGAATAACACACACAAAAAAAATTCTGAATAGAAATGACATAAATAAAAAAATTCCTAGAATATATAGAAATCATATTAAGTATTTTTTGGTGTTCAAATTTGCAACTTTGTGCTGATTTCTGTAAAATTGTATACAAATTTTTGCACATATTTTATGACATTTTTATAAAATCTTACAAACTTTTTATATTTCCTCTGGATAACATTATTCAAGTTATTTATATGAACATAAATCTATTGGTCTTATTGCTATTTTTGTGTGTGTATCCTTAATGATGAATATAATCTCTTTTAAATAAATCTTCTTTTTTTTTGCTTTATACAATTCCTAATTTCTAAAATTATCAAACAATAACTTGAACACAGCAAAGAATGGTGTTAAACAATCTAATGATAAAAAAATATTCCCTAACCTCTCTAAAACTCCTTCCAGTAGGGTACAAATCTCGGACTTTAACTTTTCTTTCAGGACTTGGACGCCTGAGATGGACGCTCCCACTGTACTATATGTAACCATAAGGACAGAGGAAATTAGGGCTAGTCTGTGAGCATTGTCCCTCTGTTCTGCGATTCTAGCATGGTCCATTACTAAAGTCTGTAATGAAAGAAGTGTTTTTAAAGTAATAAAACGAAAGGCAGTATTATTGAAAATTTTAGATCCAGATTATTTGGCAAATGAAAACAAAAGGTAAAAATGTGTGATTTTACATGAATTGGTATTTTAATGTGTTGCAATTCTAGCATGGTCCATTACTAAAGTCTGTAAAGAAAGAAGTGTTTATCAAGTAATTTAACTAGAGACATTATTTATTATTGAATATACCGGTACTAGATACAGTAGGACTGCAGTATCTCAATAATCAATATCTCAAATACCATGGTTATGTCAAAGTAATCTGGAACTCCCAACCACTTATTCTTTAAGTATTGTACCCTCAATATCTCAAATTCTTGGATATCTTAAGGTTTTTTCTTGGTCCCATCAAGTTCAAGATAACAAGGTTTGACAGTATTAATCGTATGAAAACAAAAGGTGAAATGGTGGGATTTGATATGAATTGGTATACTAGTATTTAAATGTGTTACAATACCTCAGGAATGATGTTCTTTTCATCCCAGTCCAGTAATTCAATGTATGCCTCATTCATTATGGCTGCAGGGGTTGCTAAGGGCAAAGCCATGGCTTCCTCTACTGCATCCACATCTGTAATTTTATCATGACTTCTCTTCAGCCAGGCTTTTGTGAACTCCAGTCCATCAATTCCTGCCTCTGAAAATAAACAGTAAATATTACATACCTCCAGCATGGTTTTTGCTCGAAGACACAATTATTAATTTCATGACTAGGTGTAAAGTATACAAATATTAAACTTATGGAATCATTTATGTCTTGACGTGCTTTACTTTGAACAAGATATCACATATTACATGTATTATATGTTGTACATCTTTGACAATAATACTCAAAACGTACAAGACTTCAACTTCTTTCAGAAACTGTCACAGTTTTGTTGAAAATACTTTCAAATATGTTGTGGTAGATGACACAAGATTTAAACAAAGCTTCGCTTACCTTGTTGTGACTTGAGGAAATCTTGGAATTTTTTCCGTTCGTACTCGACAGATTGCTGCTGGCAGTACGGTCTGATCTGTTGAATGGTGAAATTAGCCATGTCCATCTTCATCAAATCCAAAACAGCAAAAATTTCCCTGTAACATAGAAAGAGGATTCCATTATGTTGTTTATTTGAACTAGTGTGTGATCAAAATATATGTTACATGTACTCAGTTTTCAGGGAAAAAAAAATCTTCTCTTAAATGTAATTATAACATTTAAAACTGAAACAATTTTCATTCATGCAATTTTTTTTTTAATAAAAATACACTCCTTACAATATCACTTCAGAAAAATTTTATATTTGCTAACAAATAACAAGAGCAGCATAAAGAGCAGCATTCCCTTACAAAAGAGCAAATCAATACCAATTTGAATCATTACTTCCGTTATGTAGAAACACACACACACAATCACAAACAATATCCCCTCCAACTTTGTTGCGAGAGTATAAAAAAGAGAGGATAAACAAAGACACTTACTGGAAAAGTGGAACAACCTCTTTGACTGTTTTCAGTTTTGCCACTTGTTCATCCCGGACAGGTGCACACAGTTTCTCCATTACCCCAATAATATAATTAGAATAGTAGTAAATATCAAAGGCATCATTTTCAAGCTTCTGTCTGATCAAGTCAATGTCAAGCACCTCATTGATCTGGGCCCGGAATCTCACATGCTGCGGCAACAGAAGCATCATGATGTTCTGAAAAAGTGGAAGGGTTTATAACTCAATGGCCTTTTTTTTTTCTTTTTTTAATAAACAAAATCTTCATTGCTTAAAAATCAATTAGATCTGGCCTTTCGGGGCACAAATTATGAATGAACTTAAATCATGAAAAGTAAAGTGTTCATCAGTGAATAAAGTTTAATTAAGGAAAGTTTTTAAGTTTTGTGTGAGTTATTGGTAGGTAAATCACACAGACTTGTCACGTAGGTTAGCACGCTTCATGAAAAATATGCCTACATGCTTGTCTGTGTGATTTACACACCAATAATTCCCACTAAACTTAAAAACATTCCTTATATTTACATTTTACATGTTCAAAAGCACCAAAAATATACTCAATCTTTGAATTATTTGCTGTCCTATATCGTTACATTTTTATTAACGTCTCTGTAGCTTATTGTGATGTCACTTTAGCGCGAGTTTCTCCGTGCATATTTCTACGTGAGTATACACAAAAATGGCATTCAAATCAATTTCACAGTTGGCTTAGTAGAAATACACAGCAAATGTAAATATTCTTTAATGAACATTTAGGTGACTACTTAACCTGCCCACTTTGTTATATTTATCTGGAAAGCAGGGATTATCCCTCTAGTAATGATTTTATCTTTGGTTAGATTAGTAGTTGATAAATCAACAGACTTTGTTTTGTAGTTATTTATGGTGTGTGTATGTACCTCTTTGATCTCCTCTATCAGAACTAGGGCATGAGAAAAGTCAGGTGGATCCTCATTCAATTTCTCCTGGAAAGCATCCCAGAATGCTCTCCTGACTGTGTCCTTGACTTTTTTTTCTATGCTGTAATTGGACAAAAATCAATCTTATGTCATGTGAAACTTTGTCAAAAATGAAAGAGATAAATTTATTTAAGTAAAATTTTTTATTTTTAAAAAAAAATTACTTTTTGGGCACACCATGAAATACAAAAATTGTCATGATTGTCTTTGGTCAATCAAAGAAAAATATATTTGCTGTAGCCTTTAATATTAAATAAGTCAGTTTGTGAACATTGACTTTCTGTACTTATACCTCTGTATAATAAATTAACAATGGATTTATGTAATGCTTATATACAAATGTGACAACTTTTTGTTATTATGAGAGAAAAAATATATATATCAGTTGTTACATGTTGAATTCTTTTCATTTTCTGTTTTATTAGATTACAAACATACAATGTGACAATATTCCCACTAAATTGATCAACTCTGTTACTACTTTTTTAAAGAGAAAAAAAGTCTATACTAAAAAAAAAATAAAATATTTTTACCTGTCTTCAGGTGCTTGGAACTTTTCCAACTTGAATTCATTGTTGACAGCGATTTCATGGGCCAGTGCCATGTTTTTAACTCCATTAGTTGCCTCCATCAACTGCTCAAAGCTTAGAAACTTTGGAGGGGATGCTGCAATTTAAATAAATATTAATCAACAAACTTTAAATTAATTCAATTCTTTATCAGTGGAGATACAGTATTATTATACCCCCCACCCCCAAAAAATAAACTAACTGTAGAATTTTCACTATTATAATTGAGATTAACTGAAAAGAAAAAGTGTTCTCTTTTTCTAACCTCCCCCCCTCCAATAAATAGAATGTTTTATTGTTTTCATAAGTCATTAAAAAGATATTCATTTAAATTAAGCTTATCAGGTATACAAATTACCTGCAACCATAAATGCAGGAGGGATTCTAGGAGAACTTGGGGACTCTGTCCTAAGTTTCTTCTTCTCTGTTTCTGTATCACTGATGGAACTCCCTGTTGACAAATTAAGTTCCCCATCGTCCTGGTCCTGGAGAGGAAATTCCCCATCCAGGGAGTTATTCAAACTGTCAGGGGTTTCCTTGTCTGCCATGTTGGTGAAATCTAGGACTTGTTAATCCTTCTGTAAATAAAAATTTATTATTCCTAATTCTATCTGGTAGATATTTGTTAAAATTAAATATTTCCTCACAGATGTGTTTATTCATGTATAGGAGAATTTTTACACTGCTGAGTAAAATGAATCCAATGGTTTCTTGGTCGAGCATTTAAATACTATATTAATATATCAAATTCAATGAGCAATTGTTTACATCTGAGGATAAAACAGGTAAATTTCTCAAAATAATGAGTGCTTTATTACATCCTTAAAAAAATATTGATCTGTTACAGGATACATCCTTGATTTTGGCAATATTTCAATGATTTTTTTAAATATTTATTTTTACCTTTGGTGTAATAATTACATGTATATAGATCTATATGTTCAAAAGCAATTCCAAACCAGAAATATTGTTCAGCTGTTGCCGATAATAAAGAAATATGGATAGTTGAATAAATTTTCTAATCTTTGTAATTTTTTTTTTAATGAAATTGATATCAACATGATCAATACCTTCGATAAGCCATATTTATAAACTCTGCCAATCAACCATACTCAACATTGCCATATTTTGCAATGTCATAACATAAATCTATAAGGTTACAGAAATTTGGAAAAAATACAGTTTAAACAATGTATCCACAACCTTCTGGTCAAAAGCTATATTTGGTTATATACGTCAAATAATGATAAACAGCTGACAAACGTAAACAAAGCAACTTACATGGCTCTCAGTCTTCAATTTCAATCCAGTGATATGAATATTGAGCGTAAAATCGGTCAAAATCAACCAGTTTGTTTATAGCTGTTATTCTGACTACTTTCTTACTATCTTAATGGTGTCTGTTTGCCAAAATACTTTTCTAGAATCCTCGATATAGGGTGACGCTAAGCCATGATGGTAGACAGACATCTCGGCCCAATGACACCTCGGCCCGTGACGTCTGACACCTCGGCCCTGACAGGTCGGCCCAAGATTATTGACACGTCGGCCCATATAAAAGACACCTCGGCCCAAGCGAAATTTTATGATGGAAAAAATTTGTCCATTGTCTGAATTGTTCTTATTATCGATGTAATTATTCTTTTTGACGGTTAAATGATTTTTTAAAATAAAAGTCAAGGGGGGGGGGGGGGTCTATAATAGAAAATTGGTTCACTTCCCTAAGCTAATCAGATCAGCACGTTAACTAACATAGATCTATCTCTTCTGGAAAATCCCCAATATATACACTTAAGTGAAACTATGATATATATCAACATTCTTATGATCTTGACTTTCTATAAGAATTGCCGGAATTTTATCGTTTCATTTTGCATTACTTCTCTGACGATCTGAAACATCTTAGATGGGTTGATAATTCGTGAAAAGATATATATGGACTTCATTTAAACCGTAACTTTTTTGTAAATGCGAGAATTTCTGCTATATGGTTGCGGTCGTTAATCTTGCATAAACAAAAAAAAGGAAGGACATTTTATTGTTTATACTTATGTCAGTATAAATAATCGTATAAAATAATAGTTTAAGTAGTAAAATAATTGCATTATTGATCTGAACTTCATCGTATGTTTCATCATGTTCATTGATTGAAAATCATAGTTTGATACAGATAGCTTAAAATAAATTTAAAAAAAAAATCAGTGCTCAAACTAGTTTTTAATGTAAGTGAAATTCTTAAGAAATAAATGGATGTAAATGTTCTGAATGACTGTCTCACAATTAACAGATTAAGCCTGCTCGTAATTATTCCCTTAATGACACCAATATGACACGCACTGGAGACTCCCAAAGGATGCGCCGCGGCATCATGTTTGTTTATCTGTTAGCACTTTTAAAATTATAATTGTCTTTTCATTCCTTGATGATCGTCAATCATGTAGCTCGTGGAAGGTCTTTTTAGTATTAAAAATAATCTTGATTGTTTACTTTTTTCCGGTCAAAATTTTATTGACATCGCAGTTTGGAAATATATAATATACTTTCTATAAATGAAAGTTTGCTTGGGCCGAGGTGTCTTATGTATGGGCCGAGGTGTCTTAAATTGTGGGCCGACCAGTCTAGGCCGAGGTGTCATTGGGCCGAGATGTCAATGGGCCGAGGTGTCGTTGGGCCGAGGTGTCTGACATTCGCCATGATTATGTCTCTGACTCAATACTTGCAATGTTTACGGAAGTGACGAAATAATTCCGTAAAGAACCGAGAACATCCGAACATTACTTGTATTTGGCGCCAGTTTTCAAAGTTATCTAGAAATCCCCCACCCTCCCGAAAACTTCGGAATTCTGACGATTGAAACCGTCCTCAGTCATAAAAAATGTATTTAAACTTTTGCATCGCTTTAAATCATAGAAAAAAAATTCTGCACTACAGGGACGTATAAAATTAAAAAAGGGGGAAAAAAAGAGGCACTTGTTTCGTATAGGGGGCACCCCTACTTATTTTTACCACAAGGTACCTAACTCAATTTCAGGTACCCCCGCTTAAAGCTCGTATTTTTTTTTATATATCAATCATTAACCTACTTTATAATGAAATCGTTCGCTTCGAAAGACTTTTTTCTTGTCAAATTAATTGTTTCGGACATCACTGGTTGATCCTCTTTATTGTAAACCGCTCATTTCTTCCTTGAAAATTATCTCGATACAAAATAAGACTACGAATGCGATACATAGACTTCCGGTTGGGTTATAAATGAAGGATAAAACCAGAGACCTCGGAAAGGAATACTCGTAAGTCTCTGGACTTATCCTACATTTATAACCCAACCGGAAGTCAATGTATCGCATTCGTAGTCTTATTTTGTATCGAGATAATTTTCAAGGAAGAAATGAGCGGTTTACAATAAAGAGGATCGACCAGAGACGTCCGAAACAATTAATTTGACTAGAAAAAAGTCTTTCGAAGCGAACGATGTTGTTTTAAAGTACGTTAATGATTGATCTATAAACAAAATACGAGCTTGAAGCGGGGGTGCCTGAAATTGACTTGTGGTAAAAATAAGTAGGGGTGCCCCGTATACGAAAAAAGTGCCTGTAAAAAAAGGCCTTTTTAGTGAGAAGCTTCTTTTATTTCCTGTAAAATGAATTATGTAAATTATATTACAATGACTGTCTAACACAATATTCATACTTAAATTGACGTATCACTAAGTAATTCGAGTTGTTCGAATCCAGTAAACGATTAATAAATTATTTTTTTCTTTAGGATATACATACATGCAGGGACATACGTCTCTGATACATGTACGTAGATCTACTAAACTTGCCAAATCTAGGGGCGGATCCGGCGATTTTTGAAAGAGGGGTTCCCGGGTGATGCCCGGCCTTCACCCATCCACCCACCCACCCACACACAAACACACACACAAACTCACCCTTAGATTCACACACACACACAAGGAGAGAAAACTCATCATATTTAGGTCGTGGTAAATAATATCTTTGTTTTGCACCCCTTAATTCTTTGAAAAGTTACCTTCCAGTTCGAATGAAAAATCAAACACATCAGGCCCATAGGAAGCAATTTCAGTTTGGGGGGCACAGCCATACATTTTCAGTTGGAGGGGCACTATCAACTACCAAAAATTCTTGACAAGCAAAAAAAAAACAAAACAAGAGGCCCATGGGCCACATCGCTCACCTGAGCACATTGGCTAGGCAAAAGCACAAATCAGTTCAGTATTGAAAAGATTACCGGGGGGGGGGGGGTTGGGGTTGGGGGGGGTTGGAAGGGGGGGGGGCTTGAATTTTAAACTACCTGATGATGCTTCCATGTCAATATAACAAATGGCTTTGTTGTACTTGAGAAGATTTTTAAAAAAAATTCCCATATATTTCTTTGTAAAAATTTGATCCCCCATTGTGGCTCCTTCCTATCCCAGGGGTCATCATTTGAACTTAAATCTACACTACCTGAGGATGCTTCCATATCAATATGACTAAACATAGCTTTCCTGTTCTTGAGAAGACATATTTTTTCTATATGTTTTTATGTAAAACTTTCGATCCCCCAATGGGCCCCACCCAACCCCTGGGGGTCATCATTTGAAGAAAATTGAATTTACACTACCTGAGGATGCTTCCATATCAAAATGACTAATCATGGTTTGCAGTTCTTCAGAAGAAGAAATTTTCCCATATAAATATGAACAATCTGGGCTTTGCTGTTCCTGAGAAAAAGATTTTTCCTATATATTTCTATGTACAACTTTGATAGTACATTGCAGTCCCGCCCTACCCCCAGGGGTCATGATTTGAACGAACTTGAATCTACACTACCTGAGGATGCTTCCATATAAATATGACTCATCAGGGCTTTGCTGTTCTTGAGAAGAAGATTTTTAAAGATTTTTCCTATATATTTCTATGTAAAACTTTGATCCTCCATTGTGGCCCTGCCCTACACCCGGGGGTCATGGTTTGAACAAAATTGAATCTACACTACCTGAAGATGCTTCCATATAAATATGACTCATCATGGCTTTGCTGTTCTTCAGAAGAAGATTTTTAAAGATTTTTCCTATATATTTCTATGTAAAACTTTGATCCTCCATTGTGGCCCCACCCTACCCCCCGGGGGTCATGATTTTAACAAACTTGAATCTGCAATACCTGAAGATGCTCCCATATAAACATGACTCATCATGACTTTGCTGTTCTTGAGAAGAAGATTTTTAAAGATTTTTCCTATATATTTCTATGTAAAACTTTGATCCTCCATTGTGGCCCCGCCCTACCCCCGGGGGTCATGGTTTGAACAAAATTGAATCTACACTACCTGAGGATGCTTCCATATAAATATGACTCATCATGGCTTTGCTGTTCTTGAGAAGATTTTTAAAGATTTTTCCTATATATTTCTATGTAAAACTTTGATCCCCCATTGTGGCCCCATCCTACCCCCGGGGGTCATGATCTGAACAAACTTGAATCTACAATACCAGAAGATACTTCCATATAAATATGACCAATCATGGCTTTGCTGTTCTTGAGAAGAATATTTTTTAAGATATTTTCCTATGTATTTCTATGTAAAACTTTGATCCCCCATTGTGGCCCCACCCTATACCCAGGGGTCATGATTTGAACAAACTTGAATTTACACTATCTGAGGATGTTTCCATATAAATATGACCAATCATGACTTTGCTGTTCTTGAGAAGAAGATTTTTAAAGACATTTTCCTATATATTTCTATGTAAAACTTTGATCCCCCATTGTTGCCCCACCCTACCCCCGGGGGTCATGATTTGAACAAATCTGAATCTACACTACCTAAGGATGCTTCCATATAAATATGACTAATCATGGCTTTGCTGTTCTTGAGAAGAAGATTTTTTAAGACATTTTCCTATATATTTCTATGTAAAACTTTGATCCCCCATTATGGCCCCACCCTACCCCCTGGGGTCATGATTTGAACAAACTTGAATCTACACTACCTGAGGATGCTTTCATATAAATATGACCAATCATGGCTTTGCTGTTCTTGAGAAGAAGATTTTTAAAGACATTTTCCTATATATTTCTATGTAAAACTTTGATCCCCCATTGTGGCCCCACCCTACCCCCGGGGGTCATGATTTGAACAAACTTGAATCTACACTACCTGAGGATGTTTCCACATAAGTTTCATCTTTCCTGGCCCAGTGGTTCTTGAGAAGAAGATTTTTAAATGATGCCATTATTTTTTCACTAATTCCTAATTATCTCCCCTTGCAAGAGGGTGTGGCCCTTCATTTGAATAAACTTGAATCCCCTTTACCCATGGATACTTTGTGGCAAGTTTGGTTGAATTTGGTCCAGTGGTTCTTGAGAAAAAGTCGAAAATGTGAAAAGTTTACAGACGGACAGACGGACAGACAGACAGACAGACGGACGGACGGACGGACAGACGGACGACGGACAAAATGTGATCAGTAAAGCTCACTTGAGCCTTCGGCTCAGGTGAGCTAAAAAGTCATCAGACGTTTTTTATTGATAGGGCACAAGCATATGGTACCTATGTTTTCTATAGTAATCTATATATCGGCAAAATTATTGGGAGGGCACGCCCCCCCCCCACCCCCACCCCCCGGTTCCTACGGCCATGCACATTCTAAAAACTACTGCATGTACATAGCCTTAAAATTGAATGGATTTGCAACAAATTAAATAAATCAGATTAAATTCACATAGATGTTGGTTTCTGGATGGTCATGGTGTATTTTTCTATGTCTGTCTCAATTCAATCATGAACTTAAAAATGGAAAATTGTTGATATTTTAGCATGCATACCTTTTTTTTAAATAGGCCTAACGTGTAAAAAAATTCTCATGATTTCAGGATGGTGAAATGTGTTTTTTAATACAACGCAATGAAATTTTGGCGTTTTGTTGTTTTTGTCATTGTATTCAAAACAGACATAGAAAGCACACAGAATACAAAATACTGAGCTCTCATACGCAGTCAGTTTAAAAAAAATGTGCATACCGTTTCTGAATGTCGCATGTAACACGTGCACATTGTTTACGGAAGCAGTGGTGCATTATGGGATTGCCAGAGGCTCGAAATTCGAAAACAAAAAACATGGCGATGCGAGAGGATAGCCTGCTGGATAGTCCGGTATCTTATAACAGTTTCCAACGATCAATTCCTCTCAGGGCATCTAAAATTAACATAGGTAAATCCTTCACACCTTGCACTATCCATTTGATTTGGAGTATGAAATTCGGTAACGCTTGATTTATAATGTAAACAAACGGGCACCTGTTCGATGGTCACGGTTCGTCATTGCGTGGCATATTGAGCGTGAATTTTAAAAGATATAGATGTAAGAGAAATAAGACTGTGGAAATTTTTTACAGAAAAGATTTATCAATAGCAAAATACATTAATTTTATAAGAATTTTGGTGGAAGGGGGGGGGGGGAGGGGGTCAACAACATTTAATCAACAGGTTACCACTCGGCTGATAGGGTTGGGTCATAATACACAGACCCTTGTTTCATACATTAAGCAAGTTTTCTTCTATACATTAACACGTGTAATTGTATAGAAGAAAACTATCGTATTGTATGAAACAAGTGCCTGTGTCATAATATCCCAGGTGGGATATAGATTTTACGAAAAATATCTTAAATCCACATAAATATATATTGTATGCAACAA